TCTTGTTGCCCAGGCTTAAGTGAATGCCATGGCGTCAGCCTAGCTCACGGCAGCCTCCAACTCCTGGGCTCAAGCAATTCTTCTGCCTCAGCCTCCCTAGTAGCTGGGACTACAGGCATGCGCCACCATGCCCTGCTAATTTTTTCTATATATATTAGTTGGCCAATTAATTTCTTTCTATTTATAGTAGAGACGGGGTCTCGCTCTTGCTCAGGCTGGTTTCGAACTCCTGACCTCGAGCAAATCCACCCGCCTCGGCCTCCCAGAGTGCTAGGATTACAGGCATGAGCCACTGTGCCTGGCCAACACTTGCACTTATATTTGGAGAGTATTGTGATCTATAAATTTTTCAAGTATATGCTGTCCATTTGAAAATCTGGTGATTGCTCAGCCATTGCAATTGAGTGATGTTCTACTTTCACAGCACCAGTAATAATTAGCTCTTAAACTTTTATCTTTCACTGTCAAGTAGTCTAGTACACGTAATTTATCAAAGCCTGTTTTTGAGGGAATAGTTTCACAAATCTCTTCCACTATGTTGTATCTCTTCCACTGGAAGGAATACAATAAGAAGTAATGGTGCTTGGCTTCTCTAATACCAAATCTATATTAGTCTGGAGTCTCCAGAGACATAGAACCAATAGGATATGTATATAGATATATAAGATGGGATTTATTAGGGAAATTGGCTAACAACATTATGGTGGCCGAGAAGTTCTATGGCAGGTTGTGTGCAGACTGGCAACCCTGGGGATTCTGTTAGCGTGGCTCAGTCTATAACTAAGTTAAAGCTAGTACCATTCACCACAGGACAGCTGATAAGTCGAGAGGCAAGATGTTGGGGCAAGGAAAGTGACTTATGTTTGGAGAGCTAGCAGAGAAGATGGCAGACTAATGTCCTAGAGAACCATCTTAAATTAGTATGAATTTTAGGCTCCTTTTTATCTTAAGAGAAGGGGAAAAGGGGGGCTGGGTTGCAGGTTGTGATTGAGGACTGCAGACATCTGAGCATCAGAAAGGGTCCAAAGAAGTTGTAAAACTTCTCTGTTCTTGGTCAGTTAAGTTTGGAGGAAGTAAGGTTGGATCAGGATATTCCTACAAATCTTTAACATAATATTGTTACTTGTGTGTATTTTTTTCTTATCTCCTCAGGAGTTTGTTTTGGGAAGGGGACAGTTTTCTTTCTTCTAGCCCATCTTTTTTTCTAGCCTACGTACAGAGCTAAGCAGAAGCTTTTACCCTAAAGGATATTAGCACAGGGAGTCAGAAACAGAATGGAGCTACTTATGCTAAGACTCCCTTCGATGTTACAAGTCCAAGACAGGAGACCTCAAGCCTCAGAACCAGGGAAGCTCTGTCTGAGGAACCCTGGAGAACAGCTAGTTTAAGTCCTGGAGCCCAAAGAAGGGCAGGCAAGCCTGGAGTTCTGATGTCCAAGGCAGCAAAAGAAAAGCCCATCCCAGCTCTCAGAGAGAGACCAATACTCCTGTATTTGCTCTTTCTGGGCCCCTGGCTAATTAGATGATACCCACCAACATTGAGAGCAGATCTTCCCCTACCTAGTCCACTCAGATTCACATACTATCTCATTTGGAAACACCCTTACAGACATACCCAAAATAATATTTTAATAGATTTCTAGATATTCCTTAATTCAATCAAGCCGACACCTAAAATTAAGTCCACAAGTCCACACCTTGTCAACTTTGTGCTCATATGCATCTCCTTAAACCATACTTAATTTCCAAATACAAATAATAACAAGGCAATAGTTCCATCTAACATGATGCAACTAATATGATACAACTATCCTGCGAACAACCAAAATGTACTAATTCTTTCTCTAGTGTTTACTTTGGGGAGGTCAACATTTCAGAATTTTAATTTTTCAGGGTTGTGATTTTCAAGATTTTAGATGTTAGGGATTTTGATCTTTTCAGATTTTAACATTAGGGATTGTGGTTTTTGGGATTATGATCCGCACTACTTCAGTTAACACAGTATGGAAATTTAATTAATATAGTAATTTTCATTTTGTTGGCATACCTTTTGTATTCTTCTAGAACTTCAAGCATACTCTTTTTTATTTACTGGTTTATTATAAAGGATACTACAAAGGATAGAGATGAAGAGATGTCCCTGGGAACTTCCATGCCTTTCCAAGGCATGCCACTCCCTAGGAACTTTCCACATGTTCAGCTATCCAGAAGCTCCCCAAACCCAGTCCTTTAGGGTTTTTATGGAGACTTCGTTACATAGACACCATTGATAAAATAATTTGCCAATGGTGATCAGCTTAACCTTTAGCCCCTTTCCCCTCCCTGGAGGTTGAAGGGGTGGGCCTGAAAGTCTCAAACTTCTGAACATGCTTTTGTCTGCCTGGTGACCAGCCCCTCTCCAGAAGCTACCTAGGGGCTGCCAGCCATCAGTCAGTCAACTCATTAACATACAAAAAAGCCTTCAAGCATACTTTTTGGTTATTAAGGGAGGTAAAATTCCCAGACTCATTACACAAGTTTTTGCTTTTTTATTCACAATGTTTACTTTAATGTGACTTTGTATTCTAAGAACAGCATGCCTTGCAGGAAAGACCGGTTGTCAAATTTAGAAATAATAGTTTTGTTTTGGGCATGCCTTAGCACTTCATTTTCACTCCCTCCCCTTCTCCAGGCCTTTTTCCCAAGTACCCAATGTTCTCGAATTTCTGTGAATACACTTAGCATCCTCAAACCTCCTATGCTGTAAGTACAAAGGAACTCCCAGCTGGTGAAGAAAATGATCTAATTTATGATGCTGTGTGAATGTATCTCAAGTAGATAAGATTTCAAGCAGATAATAAAAATGGAAACATGAAATAAGTTGGGGAATTTGCAGTAGAAGGATCTCCAAAGACGCAAGCCACTCTCTTGCTGTTGAGTCCAGTCTTTTGTTATAGTTGTTCCTTTAATCTTGAACTAATAGTTTCTCTGAAAGCTTGCTCATTTTTTTTTCGATCTACTCCCCCATTACACTAGCAGCAAAGGTTCATGGTGTAAACAAATAGGGTAAGACTGGAGCCTTTGGTATGTATGGTTTTGTAAATTTGTAAATGGTTTTGTAGTTGTACGTTATCATTCTAGTTTTTTCTAGCTATTATATGAGCTAATTACTTTTTTCTCACTTGAGTGAGATTTTAACATTAGGGATGTGTAAGTGGTGTGTTTAATTTCTAATCTTAATACAAGTAAGGATCCAAGTTCTTAGGAAAAAAAACTACATAACAAGTTGTGAGTCCTTTCTGACTTAAATATATATGACATACTGTTAATTATGGGATCAGATCAATCATGATTAATATCAGTAAACTTTTTTTTAGTCATCTCATTCAATAACTCACTTGACTAAATCTCTAGATTCTAAGGCCTGGCCACTTAATGCTTGAAACTATACATATCCACAGCCAGATCTTAAGCTAGAGGTCTGTTGGATGAACTTCTTCTGTGGTCAAATATTTGATACTTACTGATTACTTAATAAAGTTTGATGCTCATGGATCAAAAACTGCTTTCACTAGTTAGATGTTTACTTATACCAGCAGTTGTAACATTAAATACCTACAGTCCCTACACATGTAAAGTAAATTAATGACTTGGATAAGGAAAGGACAGTGGGAAACCAGAGAGTTCTTACCTTGATTCATCAACTGCTATCTATCTGCTTATTGCTGCCATGTGGGAATGCTGGCTGGTATTGCTAAAGCTTCTGATTTTTCAAGAAAAACTAGAAATTCAGGTTTTTGTGAGTAATGTCTCAATCTTAGATATTGGCAACTAATTCAAAAAGTCTAGGGGAATAAAACCGTAAAGACTGTATGAGCCAAACAAAATATGCCTGAGTAATTTATTCCTAGATATTTTGAGCATTTTGTACTTTGCTAGAAACAGTACACAAAAAACAACTCTCCCAGAGTGACTTTTGATTCTTTATGATTCTTTTATGGTCTGTATGCTTCCCTTCTTTATTTGCCTGGAAATTGTACTCTTCTGAATGCATCTGGAAAGAGGGGTATATAAATGGTACTAGAAAGGAAACAACTCAGGCTGCTAAATTGACACCTTAAGCAAGGAAAATCTTTAAGGTAAAGATGCCTAACTACCAGATATATAGAAATCTCTTAACTGTCTTCCTGGCCTGTGTTTCTGCAATAGGCATCTTTGCTTTGCTTAATTTATCCTGATGTCTCAGATTTTTAACCAATATTCTAAGTTCTCAGAACTATATAAACATTGTATATGTCCAAGGTGACTTTATGAGTATTTCCTTGGAAGGATAGAGGAGAACAAATCAGATAACATTGGCTTGCAACAATGTGAACTTGAAATTTAGATTACTATATAAAAAGTTCTTAGAAAATACTTATGTCAAGATTAGTTTTTAGAATGTCAGTTTTCATGTTAATTTTCTGAATTGTATAAAATATTCTTAAGTTTAGAATAATACATATCCAGCCATGTTAATCTTTTTATTATTTTAAAAAGTTTAGTTCACTGGTTGTCTTTCATGTAAAAATAACCAAATATTGAGATTAAAATGAACATAATAATGAAGGATTTTTTTATATGTCTTAAAATTATTTTTAGTAGTTTTAATTTTATAGAAACATGGTGAAGGTAGTACAGTGAGTTCACCTATAGCTCACAGGCAGTTTCCCATCAGTCATATTTTGCATTTGTATGGTACATATGTCACAATTAATGAACCAGTATTTATATATGATGATTATTATTATTAACTAAAGTCCATGCTTTATTCAGATTTTCTTAGTTTTTGTCTTAATGTTTTTTTCTGTTCCAGGATCCCATCTAGGATATACACTACATAGATAGACTCCTCTGAGCTGTGTTATTTCTCAAACTTTCTTGTTTTTGATGACCTTAATATTAATAGGTTTTAGGAGTAATGGTCATATATTGTGTAGAATATCCCTCAATTAGAATTTGTCCTGTTTTTTTCATGATTAGGCTGGTATTACGGTTCTTTGACAAGAAGACCACAGAGGTAAAGTACCATTGTCAATGACATCATCAAAGGTATATATTGTCAACATGACTTACACTATTGATATTTACCTTAGTCATCTGGTTTATTAGTGATTGTCAGGTTTCTCCACTTGTAAAGTTATTCTTTAATCCCATCCCCCTTTCCATACTGTACTTTTTGGAAGGAAACACTATGTGCACCCCACACTTAAGGAGTGGATGTTATGCTCTACCTCCCTGAGGGCAGCATCTAGATAAACTATTTAGAATTCTTCTACGTGGGAGATTTTTCTCTTCTCCCCCATTTATTTATTCAGTCATTTATTTTACATCATTGATGTTTATTTTATATTTCACATTACAAGCAGGTACTACTTTACTTTGTTGCTCAGATTGTTCCACCTTTGGCCATTAGGAGCTCTTTCAGTTGGCTCATACTCCCTGTGTATGTGTGTGTATGTGTGTGTGTATATATGTGTTAGAGGAACATTCTAAGTCTTTTGATTGTGAAAAAAATTGTAAAATAGAGGTTATATTTCATATACAGTCCTTCCATTTTTACATCTGTGCTCATCATAATACCCTATAATAACTAACAAAATTCATTTATTGTGTTTATGCTCTACTCTCAGCTTTCTTCATTCATGTACTTTCAGAGGTATTGGTGAACATTATCAAGGAAGAAGATCCTAGAAGATTTTTAAGGTCTTGAAGCAATGAAGATTGCCTATGATTGCTTACAGTGAAATTTACCTGGAAATAAACTTCTTAGTCCAGGGATATATATCTTTAAGAAGTCTGCAGAAAAGTTTCTCCAAAGGAACATTTAAATAGTTAATAAACATCTTCAAAGCATATGTCTGTTTTACTTTTGATCAGTTTTAATTTTTTGTGATACACAATGCCCAGAAATTGGACTCTAATATTTAATCTTCCTACAGGGTTTCTGATATACTGGGAGCCAGTGAAGTCACTGGTTGGGATGTGGTCACTGGTATCAGCATATCCATAGAAATGTAATTAAACATTAGCATCCTTCAAAATTCAGTTCTAACAAAGTTTCCTAGATATTGGAAGCATCCTTTAAGTCAGATACATATAATGCTTTTATTTGATTAGTTTTTCTTAACTTGCCAGTACATAGAGTTGAGAGACTAGTGTGCTAGTCTATTTTCATTTTTTTCTTTATTATTTTTTTAAGTTATAAAAATAGCATTTTTGCATTGGCAATATATGTAACTTTAACACTTATACCCCCATAATATGCTAAAATAAAAAAAATAAATAAAAAATAGTATTTTTGTTGTTTAAAAATTGAAGCAATACAAAGATACTGTCTTCCTTATCCTGTTCCATTCTTTCCTCCAGAGGTAACTAGTTAAAAAACTGACTATCTTTCTAGATACTTTCCTATGTATTTAAGCAAATATAATTCATTTATATGTGTATACTTAAATAGTATACTTAAATACACTTAAATAGTGGGATAATATAATCCATATTATTCTGTGTCTTAATTTTTTTTAACCTAATATATCCTGGACATCATGTCTATATTCAAAGCTACTTCATTTTTTTAAAATATAACATTCTTTAGCATGTATATACCATAATTTATTAAACTATTTTCTATTAGTGGCATTTAGGTTGTTTGCAATATTTTGGATTACAGTTTGCTTCTAAACTATCTTCTATTAGTAGCATTTACGTTGTTTGCAATATTTTGGATTACAGTTTGCTTCTAAACTATCTTCTATTAGTAGCATTTACATTGTTTGCAATATTTTGGATTACAGTTTGGTTCAGAAAACTCTTATATTGATATCTTTGCATGTATGTGGCTAGGATTATTTTCTGTAACCAGAAATTTTGGTTCAAAGGGTATGCTTATGTAGAATGTTAATATTGCCAAATTGGCCTCCAAATGTCTCTACTGATAAATGTTCTACAGCACTTGTTTTTGAAGTTTTATAATTTTTACCATTTATATGGTAAAATGATGTCTCCTTATTGTTTTTCATCTTTGTATTGCTAATAATTGGGGAAGTTTGAGAATTTTCTTTTCATAGACATATACTTTGCAGTGGAGAAGGCTTTCTAAGGGAAACACAAACTTAGAAACCAGTAAAGATATACTGATGGATTTGACTACAAATAACCTTTTTATGATGAAAAGCATGATAAAAAGGCAAGCTACAGACTGGCTTTCTACATAATACTTTGTATGGTTTTAGGGCATAATTTATCATATGAGGAGGTCCAACAAAATATCTCAATAGTCTTTCTAAATCTAATGCAATAATTCTGTGACTTTAAAACAGTGAATATAAATATAGATACACTTTTAGGGTTAAGGATTTTGAAGGTTTTTTTAGGACTAGTTGAAAATGGATTTTTTTGGATAAGTTTCTTAGAATTCCATCATTGTTTAATAATAGTTGTGCATTCATGCATGTTGTGCATTCTAATATACATTATATAATTTTGCACAAAAGGGAACATTTTACATGTTTTTACTGTGGACATTCCTCCATACACTCTAACCCCTCTAGGAAATCCTTATTAACTTAGTTTGTACCCTTCCATAATTTTTTTAAAGCTCTTATAATACTATAACGCGTAGATATGTTCACACATGCAGAAGAGGATTTTGTCAATTCAGCAAATTTGAAAATGAGGAAATAGTGGATTTCCATATAAAATACAAATTACTGACACTGAACCAAGAAAGGTCTGAATAGACACTAGTTCAATTTTTAAAACTATTGTAGGCCATGAAATTGAAAGCTCCCAAATTCATTTTATAAGACCAAAATAACTTCAATATCAAAACCTAACATAATGTCAAAAAAGAAGGCTGTAGGCTAGTTACACATGAAAAACTATGTATGCAAAAATTTAAATATTAAGAAATAGAATCTGGCAATATATATTAAAAAATCCTTATAATGAAGCAGATGTTACAGGGGTTCAATGTTGGTTAAGCATCTGGACAGACATCTATATAAGAAAAAGCACATATTAAGTAGATGCTAAAGATGGCATTTGATAAAAATCAACCACCATTTCTAATAAAAACTGTATAAAATAAGAATAGAAGGAATTTAAATAAAATAAAAAGTAATGTTTTGATAAAAACATTAAAGTCCTCCCCAATAAAAATAGGAGATAGATAAGGATTCCTGTTATTACCATTATTAGTTAACATAGTGTTAGTAGTTTAAGACAAAGTGAAATGTTGAAGAATGGATAAGAAAACTATGCAAGAGAATAGTGAAAGAGGGATTCGCCTTCCCATAATTTAGACCATAAAAATATGTAAACAAAGAATAGAAAAATACATGAGTAGAACAATTAGAGAATGAGAATTCAAATTCTGGTGTATTTTGAGAAGATAGTGTATGACAACATAGTGTTTAGTTACATGGGAAAAGTTAATGAAAAGATTTTGGCATAAACTGGCTATCCAAAGAAGAAAATAAAAATGCACCATCACTTTACACCCCATAGAAAACTGTTTTGTAGATAAAGATTTAAATACCACAATCTTCGCTTTGCATGGTATACTTTGAGGTACTGTATAAATGATGAGAGCTGAAAGTGCATCTTAATATATTATCAGTTGGAAATTTGATAATTTTCCGAGATCTTTAAATTTTTTTTATTAAACCATTAACTCTTAACACTGGTCATAAATATGTAGTGAAATGGAAAAAATGGTAATATAAAACTCTTAAAAATACACCAAAAATGTAAAATAATTTAACAATTTAAAATTACTTAAATAATTTAAAACATTAGAAAACTTGAGAATTAAGGTGTTCTATTCATACAAAGCTTATCAAGAGTAGTTTCAATGGTACTTGCCCCTTCTCATTGTATAACTTAAGATATGGAGCATGCATCTCTCCTGTGCCTTTCCAAATTGTCATATGTTTTTTCTAAATTTGTCTTAGTTTTCAACGTTTCATGACTTTGCATTTCCAAAGTCATGCGATATCTGAGACTTCCATTAATGTTAATTTTTTCCTCGGGATACTTTCATCCTTTTGGTTACAATCAGTTCCAATTTCAATTTCAGCATTATTTTTGTATACTTTATTACTTTTGTCATAATTATTACTTTTTTTATCTTTGTTAGTTTCCTATTTCGATTATTTATTTTTGTGAAATGTCAAGTGAGTTTATCATTGGGAGACAGGAAGACAACACAGTTACACACTTTGCTGTCTGTGCATGCACTGAATAACAAACAGTATGCCCAGTGACCACTTGCTGGCAGACTTTGAGATAAGCTATGTGATTACTTACTGATCATGGTCCACAACTCTTACTTATCTGTGAACCGAATAGCTCGCCATAAACTTTGTACTTTGTACAGTTACTCAAAGTTAATACACTATGGTAACTAAAAGTTGAACTGAGTTATTGGGGACTATTATTTAACTGAACTGTGGTAGCTGATATTTGTGCATATTAGATCTGTGCAAAAGCAAAGATATGGCATGCGCACACACAATAAAAACCTTGCAAGATAATCTGGACTACGTGTTTAGTCCAGAAGTCTGAGATACATGCCTAGTAGAGAGACTTTCTAGTTGGCCAGGCCTGGTGGCTCATGCCCGTAATTCTAGCACTGTGGGAGGCCGAGGCGGGTGGATCGCTTGAGCTCAGGAGTTCGAGACCAGCCTGAGCAAGAGTGAGACCTCGTCTCTACTAAAAATAGACATTGTATGGACAACTAAAAATATATAGAGAAAAATTAGCTGGGCATGGTGGTGCATGCCTGTAGTCCCAGCTGCTCAGGAGGCTGAGGCAGAAGGATTGTTTGAGCCCAGGAGCTTGAGTTTGCTGTAAGCTAGGGTGATGCCGTGGCACTCTAGCCCAGGCAACAGCAAGACTGTGTCTCTACAAAAAAAAAAAAGACTTTCTAGTCTTCATTTTATACCTACAAGGTATACATTTCATAATATAAAAATAATTTTTGTATGGCAAAAATAATAAAAGTCAATAGGGAAAACAGTAGATCCAGAAAATTATTTATAAAAGTGATGAACAAAAGGTGAATTTCTGTAATATATACATTCTTGCAGAGTGACAAGAAGGGAGACAGTATGTCGTAGAGAACTGGACAGAGCAACATACAGTTCATGGAATAAATCCAGATGTTCAACAAACAAGAAAGGGGGTCAGATTTATTAATAGTTTAATAAGTGCAAGTTAGAGAAACTATTGAATTTAAATGGGCTGCATATCACTTCTTACTAGAAGGTAATATAGAGAAAGATACCCTCAAACTTTGGTGGAAATGAGAAAACCTTTTGGGAAGACAATCTGGCCAGTAAATCTGTCAGTAAAGTAACATATCTGTTTGCTTTGTCCTAGCAGTTGCTTTTCTGAAAGTCCGTCCCATGGTAGAAAATGTAGTATTTCATTTAACTGCAATAAGTGGGATGGTAGCATAAATGTTTTTGAAAGTTGAATACAATGTGAGGATATCAGATTTTTAACATAAATTCTTTTTTTAAAAAAAGCATTAAGTAGACCTGGAGTTAGTTTCAAATTATTATCTAAGAAGTATCAATTTTATTTGAAAGACATTCATTTCTAGCTTTCAACAGTACATATTTTCTATCTTTGATTCTGGGTT